CCCCCCCCCCCCCGCCCGCCCCTTCGGAGCCCTCACAACGGCCTCGCCTTACCTCAATCCGCGTCGGCAATCTGGCTTTTTTTTTTCCTTTTTTTTTTTTTTTTTTGTTCTCCGCGCCGGCCAAAGCTCCCGCAGTGCCGGGGTCTCCGATGGAGGAGAAGCGGGGAGGCGGCGCGTGAAGGGAGAAAGGCGATGGAAAGCGGGGGAGGGAGTAAACGAGAGGCGGGGTGGGGGGGGGGAGGCGGCTGAGAAGACGGAAGCAAGGAACCCACCGCCGCTTAAACGGAGCCGCCAGAAGACTGGAGCCGGCCGAGACGTTGACAGAACGCGGGCGGGCGAAGGGAGGGAGAAGCGGCGCGCGCAGACGCGCTCTCCCCGCGTGCCCGAAAGCCCGGCCGATAGGGAAAGAAGTAATCCGAGCTTAAGGAACTGTAAAAAGAAACGGGGGCGCGCGCGAGATGGGAAGAGACGCGGAGGCCTCTTCGCCCGTTGCCTCCAAGAGAGAATAGACCCGAAGGGGCGGGGACTAGGTGCGCGTGATGGGAGGAAAGCGGCCAATGAGAGAAGGGTAGTCTAAAATCTCTATGCTGGAGGAACGTTAGCTTCGCGGCGGCCAAGGAGGCAGCAGCGGGGGGGGGGGAGTGTTGGCAGCACGCATGCGTGTTATAACCCCCGACGTCGCTGCTGGTTTCCCAGGGGGTGCCTTGCAACACGTGCATTCTTGCAAGTGAGCAAAGAGAGCGGGGACCTCTTGTGAAGGGGCTACTAGGAAGCGAGTTGCCCGGTGTCTCCCCCGCTCTCCGTGCGGGCGTGAGTTGTATCTGATACCCTTTGACGGACTTATCTCATCCCTTTCGAAAACCGGCCAAGTTGGCAGTATCTTGCGGTGGTCACGCCTTGCGTTTAAAATACTGGGTTTCTCAGCTTTGGCAACTTTTAAGACGTGTGGACTTCAGCTCGCGGAATTAATGAGATCCATGTATGCTGTGCCTTCCCAATTCCAGTGGCAGATTAATCTGGAGAGGTCAGTTTTTCACGGAATCTGGTCCTAACCGTTCAGAAAGTTAACCATCGCAGTAGCATTTCGAATTGTACTTGGGGCAAATGAAAGTCAGTCAGCTGAAATGGTGCTATATTCTCTAAATAACCCCGTTAACAATATTTCTTTATTAAATTTCTTGACCGCTGCCTTGACTCTCCATCATTTGCAGCAATGAGCTTCTGTAGCTAACTATATGCCACATTGCAGAACGGGTGACTTGTTAGTAAACACTGTGTCATTTCCTCTCCAACGCCAAACCATTAAATTCAAATCACATGCTTTTTTTTTTTTTTGCAATACTTCTTGTCTGTATTCTATTATTGTTGTCCGTATTCCATCTTTGTTATATCCTTCCTGACTGTGAAAGCAGCACTGTTCCTTGTTTTTCGGGCCCTGACTACTAGTCTTTTGACCTGAAGTGTCCAATTCCAGCACATCTTAATTTCTTGATTAAGCACTAAAAGGTGCTTGGTTACTGCCAAGAAGTCAGTCACTGTGTTGAGCTTTTCCCTATTCCTGGTTCTTATGTTCCATGTTCCCACTATAATCCTGCCGCTGCATGACAAGATCAACAGTTAAACATCCCAAAGGCTTTAATGCATCATAAACATCATTAGTACTCCAAAAGATCCTCAGCTGTTTCTCAGTAATATGTTGATTTCATCAAGGCACCAGGTTAGAAAGCGGGAGAGCATGAGTTCTAGTCCTGCCTTGGCTATGAAAAACAGTTAGGTATTTTTGAGCAAGTCACTCTATCTCAGTCTGACTCACTTCACAGATTTCTTGTGGGGAAAATAAAGGCATGTTGGATATGTTCACCACTTTGAATTATTTTTAAAAATTATGAAAGTGGGATACAAATAAATAAACATCATTCCCTTTATCTAACCTATCTGACCTGGTTCCAACTACGACTCGGGTGTCTGCAGAGTTGATAACATTACAAAGATAAACATGTAATTTTGGTTTCTCTCATTTTTTCCAATCTATAATTTGTCCTGTGTCTATGGAGATTCTTAGTCATCCAGGTCATGGCTGTCCCAAAGGTGCTTTTTCAAGAGGCAGCTCCAGAGCTGAAGAAGCTTCTTGGATGAGAAGCTAAACATCTTCAAAGAAAAACCAGAAAGTCCAGTTGCCTCTTGAAAAAGCACTTTTGGGACTATAATTTGTCCTATTTCTATATTTGAGAGTTTTATGAAATTTGACACATTTCTCCTATTAACACACATTATAGATCAATGATTGTTGTGCTATTTTTCACTGTTTATTTTTCTATATCTTCTGTTCACACATTTTTCTTCCTTTTTATTGTTGTAAGTGCCTAGATTAGCCCCACAGCAAGGCAGAAGGCAAATAAAGTTAATAAATAAAATAAATAAATACTTGGCAAATTATGTTTTTCTTTTTCCATGAATATGTTAAGATGCATTTTTTAAACCTTTAAAGCATAAACAATGATAGTTAACTGCATTATGGCTCACATTTATTAAGGAAGTGCAAATTTGGGAAGCTAGAATGCAAAAGAAAACAACTAAATATTCTCCCATCCTACTCCACCTGTAATGGAATGCACACATGACCTTAGGGAAAGGGAGGAAGAGATGCTATCCGAGAAACAATCAGACGAGAGGGGTAGGAACCCCCATGGTTTAAGGGTCTGCGAAAGAAATGTAGGGAGAACCTGCCGAATGTATCAAGCGGTTAAACGTGACTGCAGGAAGTTGTACTTTCTCACAAGTTTCTAAAAGTGGCAGCAGGAAGTTCTTACTTTTTTAAATTTCAAGTTTCTGTTAATGTAACTTTAAAGTAGAATAAGTTTGTTTTGTCATGTTTCCTCTGATTTACCTGGGAAAGCTGAGATTACCTGAAATTCCACCAAAATATAATTTATACAGTATGTCTTCTGTATGACTGAGAACATAAAAATAATACTCCCCTATCTGTAATATTTTTCAGGATTTTATCCACGTTAGAATTTTGGAAGCAGAAAATTAAGGACCACCTTCACCAGCCCTCCTGCCACTCTGAGATTAGATTGCTACAAATGGGATTGCTTTGATGACGCCTTGGTTTTGAAGTGTCTTCCCAGAGTGGTTGATGTCATCTCTATATTCTATTTGGCAGCAACCAACTTGTTCTTAGTTTGGTTTGGTTTTTATTTCCCTGGGCATATTCCCATCATAACTAGGCTTTATCCTGCTGCTATTTTGCTATTTTACTTTGTTCTAAATTGGTTCAAAACATTTTTTATTTCTGGGTTTTATTAACAGAAAAACAGAAATAATGAAGTAATGTGTTTTTACTGTTAATAGAATAGAAACTGACTAGTCCTAATAAAATACTTTACAAGATCATTTCATTTGACTTTTCTTATGCATCAATATAGGTAGATGTCTGACAGTCAACTTCTAAACAAATTGTTGTTTAGACAATTTGAACCAAAGAAAACAAACAGAACCAGATAACATCCATAATACCAACATTACAGGACAATTTCATGATTCTTGGAAATCTATTTTTTCTAATTTCTCACTGTGAGCTGCCACTTTTAATTTCTTACTTACTCATGACTCAGTCCATAGGATATAAAGGTATCTTGTTATTCAGCCATCAGATATCTTCTCTATATTCAAATGGCACAAAGTCATTTTGTTATAGATCAGAAAAAAATATAAAAGTTTGCCTTCTGTGCTGATTTTAAAGCTGCTTCTGTGTTTTACATATTCCAGAAAAGAAATGCTCGTGATGTTTGAGGCATTATGTATTAATTTAAAACCAAACAGACAAATATATAAGGCATGGAAATGAACAAGAGTAATCTTGGTTGCAGGAACCTGTAATTACAGTAAAGGCTCTGGTGAAATCGTTTTGCCCAAGGGAAGTGCATCTACCTTTAGTTATTATTTATTTTCCCAATGTAAAACCAAGTGGTTAAATCAATGCCAAGGAGCCAAGGACTACTTTAAGAGGATAATCAAGTTGTTTGAAAAATACGTTTTGTTATTCCTTCATACTGTTTGTATGGGTATCTGAAAGGAAGAGAATTCTATGAAAAGCTAAAATTCACTATGTAAAATATTTGTTATAAAGTTATTATTGAGCACATGAGTTATGTGTAACCTCCAAAAGTAATTCATTATCGAGATATTGTATATTATCAACGTATCAATCTATTAGCTAATGATGAGTATCAGTGGCTAGAGCCAATATTAAAATTCAGCATTTTCTATTTTACTCATGATTTTGTTCCAACTTACAGTTTGCTAACATAATTAAATCCTTACGGTATAAACAGATTTCTCCTATCATTTCCACAGATGAAAACTAGTGTACTGAGTGAATCTTCCATTTTATTGTATGAATAAGTTTGCTCTGGGAATCGTTAGGGCTGGATCATCACCCACGATTTGGTATGAGCCAAATCAAGAACATGAGCAATAAATTGAATTATCCTGGCTAATCATCCTAAGAAAAAAACTTGACCAAAAGATAAGCATTCTAGCCTGTATTGCCCCAATGTTACACAAAGGTATGGAATGACCATGCCTGATGTCCTGAAACTCTTTGCAGGATGGGCTACTCAATCAATAGCTACATTGATTAAAAATAAATTTAAAAATATGTGATTTCCCCCCCCCCCCCCCACTTTCTTGTACCACAACTGTAGCTAAGAATGTTGTGCCATTGATTCGGATAAGATTATTTAAAAATTATGCGATATATCACTTTCCTATGCTTTTGATGTTCTGCTCATGACTCTGGTTTCTCTATTGATAAAGTATATAGGCTTCTGAACTATTTCTCAATATTCCTCTCAGTGGTGCGTTTCCAAATAGTTTACCACCAGTTCAGTGGGCATGGCTTGTTGGGCGTGCTTTGCGCATGCACACACACTTTGCATGCACACGCCCCAAACACACACTTTGCACAGGCGCAGAGGCTTTCCAACTCACCTCTTGCAATCCTGCACTCCCTGTCGCTTCAGCAGCTAACACGTGGCAATCTGCTGTGCCGCGCAAAGCAGCTACGCTTCAAAAGCAGGGAATAAAAGTCAGTATGGGAGCCCAGGCAGGTGGGTTGGCCCAACAATAGCTCCTCAGAGAGAACCAGTTCGGCCTCCACTGATTTTCGGTGCTACTGGTACGCCAGAACCAGCCAGAACTGGTAGAATACCACCACTGATTCCTCTCCTGACATCAATTTTATTTAGCTTCAGGCGTCTACCTATAAATTTGCTTGTTAAACATTGAAACAAAGAAGATTTTTGTTAAGTCAAAAGCTTTATTTGATTTACTTTTCTATTATTTTATTTCCTTTGGTTTAACTATAGTTTTATTGTTCTATATCTTGTATAGAATAGTAAAACAAGTTAAGCCAAAAAAATATATATTTTAAGTTAAACCATTTTATGATATCTGGGTTGACACAAATGCCATTACATTACATATAAAATTCCAAGAGGCTAATAAAATGAGCATTAAAACCCATTTCGAGAAGGATGAAAGAAGGAATATTTATCATAAAAGCAACTTGGTATCCAACATTATAAGAAATGAAGAATACTAGAGTTATAGTCAAGTATAAATACAGACACATCTAAAAACTTTTAAAGCAGCCACATATTTCTTTGGGATTGTATAGGAAAACATGGAGATGCTTTTAAGATTTGTGTCTCTGCTCTGAAACACCTTTTGGCATAGAATGTGAAATGCTACATTTTCTTTTAAAAAATACACAATCCCAATACACAATAGTGAATAAAGAAACAGTGATTGAAGTTATATTTTTTGCTAAAATTGTTCACAAAGATACCCCTAATTATGAAAACTGACATTGAGACGGGGAATCTGTTCATCTCCAATTATTATTAGACTATGCATCCCTTCTTTAAAATAAAGCATCCCTGACAATTGATTATGCTGTCTGGGGTTGATAGGTTTTGTAGCCCAGCAGTACAATACCCATAAGCTCATAGATGCAAACTAAAGGATCTAGTCTTTATCTGAAGTGGTTCGAGATGTGTGAAAATTAGCTGTAGACAATATTCAAAAGCAGCAGTTATCCATTACATGCCTTTGTTTGGTTTTTTTAAAAAGAAACATTAATTTTATGACTCCAGTTAGGGAAATTTAGATAATAACAAGATGCTTAAAACTTTGATTACCATATGTTTTTGTATGCAACTCTGTTCTCCTATTTCAGATGGCACTGTAGTGCCTACTTTAAATGCGTATGTCTACATGAGGAAGAAGCAGACAGTGTTGGTAGCTAGGACGGATGCCAAGAGAAATCACTGAAATCTATGCTATCTAAAACTGTTTACACCTTTTTAAAATGCTTGCACATTCAAGAGAAAACTAGTCTTCATAACTATATCTCTGTATAAAGATAACTATATATCTGCCAAAATTGCTCTTGTTGCACTTCCTTAATAGTCCTTTGCTTGTGTTAATTTCTCTGTGTTTACATTCACATCAGGAGCTGGGAACCATTTTGGCAAATGTGCTGGAAGTGAAGCTCAACATATATGAAGGAGCTATCCTAGTATAGAGTTTATAAATAGCATAAACTCTTCCTCAGCATGCTTTGGAGAATTGTTGAGACAAAAAGAGACAAAACTGTGCATAATATTACAAGGGCAAGGCCACAGACTGATTGTAGGTAATAGCCACAAGAATGATAAACATTGGACCCAAATTCTGTACTTAAGTACAGCCACAAGGCTTACTAAGAGGAAGTAAGGCTTACTAAGGCTTACTTCAAGGAAAAAGATGCATCTTATCACTCTCATTCTATTCTCTCTAGCAGTGATAATGTATGACTTTTACTTATTTTGAGAGCTTGCTTCTCACAATTCACCTTGTTTATTTGTTTCTAGCAGGCATTGTAGTTTGGGAGATTTGTTTTTAATTTTTTAAAAGTTTTTTAAAAGGCCCATGTAACTGTAAGGGCCATAAAGTTGTGGTTTTTTTTAATCACACTAATTTTTCTCCTTACTATATTGTAGCTGTTTAGATGTAAATATAGAGATTCATACACAGAATAACAGAGATTTACATAACTTTGCCTTTTAGATAGAATGCAAAAATAGAAACTAACGGAAAAGAGGTAGAAAAGAGGATAGGAAGAATGCTTATCATTATATAATAATAAACATGTTTATTATTTACTGTCAGTATCACTCTATCATAAGGTAGACAAAGAATATATAGTAATGCAACAGTGCAATTAAAAATAAACAATTAGGCAATTGTACATGGTATAGAAAATGAAACAATCAGATAAATCAGGGGCTTCATAAAAGAATAGACTGGCAAATTTCTGACAAAACAGTCACTGCCAATTGGTAAAACGCTCAAACAGCCGGCAACCTGTATTGATTCTTCAGACAAAAAAAAAAGGTTAATCATGCATGTTCAGAATGGCAACTGCCCTATTTGTAATGTACTAGGCAGGATGAGGAGCCCTTGATTTCTAATACAAGTAGACCTCAGCTTACAAACAAAATTGGGACCAGAATTTCTCTTGCAAAGAATAAAGAGGTTGTTACATGAATCATGCCTGGGTTTTTTGCTGTGCAAATCACTGCCATTCTTAAGTAACCCAGCTTCCCATCCTTAGCAATTGGAAGCTGGCAGGAAAAGTGGCCGATGGTGAACCTGGGACATTGTAGCCATCATAAAGACAAGCCAATTGCCAAATGCATGCCATCCAAATTCTGATCATGTTACCATTGAGATACTGCAACAGTTGTAAGTGTGAGGACTGGTCATAAGTCACTTCTTTCAGTGCCCTTAAGATTTTGAACATTTGCTAAAGAGATGGTTATACAATATTTTATAAGCATATGTAATAAGAAACTGTTGAATGTTTGATCACTGTCAGTAGAAAATAGACTGTCCTCCCCTTCATGTGACTCTGTAAAGAACCGATTAAGACTCTTATGAGATATGCTAGCATATAAAATAAAAGCAACAAAAACAACCAGCAGGAATACTGTGTGTTGCTGAAGCATAGTATTGCTAAGTAATCATAAGGAGAAGGATAAATAAAAGATACTGAGAAGGCCAAGTTCACATATGCTCTGCATCAGATTATTGCAGCAATCATTTGTAGTCAGGGTGTGTTTTCAAGAGCTGAAAGTACAGAATGGTATATTGGCATTCCTCTGAGATACAACCCAGGGGTGTGGCTGTGAGTGGAAACTCATCGTTCTTTAGCATTCAGAGTCATCATTCGTAATATTTCATTACCTAAACAAAGAAACAGAGTGACTAGGAAAGATATTAAAAAAAAGTAGTGGGGAGCTGAAGCAAATCCCAACTTCCTACCATCTTCCCCATTGAGTTTCCTTGTGGGACACACAGAGCATTTGAAACATTCCTTCCTTCCTTCCTCTCTGTCTCTCTCTCTCCCTCTCCTCCCTTCCTTCTACACACCTGCGCTAGGATTCCTCCTTCCCTAGAATTCTCTTATTTATTTTACATGTGGAAAGCTTGCAGGAAGGAAGTCAGTGAGAAAGCAGCAGGAAGTTACAAATTTAAGGCCAGCCGGCAGGTAAGTGCTGCTCAGGGGTGGGATTCAAATTTTTTTAACAACCGGTTCTGTGGGCGTGGCTTAGGTGGTGGGCGTGGCTTAGTGGTCATGTGACTGGGTGGATATGGCTTGGTGGTCATGTTATTGGCTGGGTGTGGCCAACTCAATATCACTCACATCAAGGCACCATCTCCTCGCC